CGCTGGGTTTAGGCTAACAGCTTTGCAGTCGAGCGGAGCTAGAGTGATGCGTCAATAGGGATCCGTAATTCTAATTGATTGCGATTGGTGTGAAGTGTTGCTCTTAACTCCAAGGATTTGTTGAGGGTAACACATGACTTAAACACATTCAAATATTTCGGTTAAATAAAAGGAAACTGTAATTCACTCTTAATATAAGGTTTTACTTCTTTCATCAGAACTCTAAAGTCGAAAGTTCATGATTATTCCGTGTTTTTAACAATGACTGAAGGAAATTATTTAGGTGAGTTTGTCTGGCTTACTCCTGATAAGAAATGTGCGACAATAAATGAAGAAATACATTATTCACAGACAAATAAACGGCGATGTTGTCGTTTTTTAAGCGTCCGTAAAAATATCATGAAACTTTTCAAATGTTAATTGTAATTAGTTATGATCTGTGAATAATTTCCACATTTGTGTATTGTACTCTATAGCAGGTGTTCTGAGAGGGTGGACCGCACGAAATGTGGTTGCCGGGTAGTTTAGACCGCACGAAATGTGGATGATCCGGGTAGTTATTAACTAACGAAATGTTGGGGATACGAGTAGTTATATAATAGCTCACAACTTGTCTCTGGTGCGATTAGTTAGTAGCAAATGTAATGTGGGCGATTCGATTTAGTAGCGTATGTAATGTGGCTGATTCGATTAATTATTTAGTAGCGTATGTAACGTGGCTGATGCGATTGTAGTTAGCAGCTAAAGAATCGCGGGTGATCCGAGTGGACCCTCCACACGGTAACGGTCACGTTGAGCGCTTCATAAGTGCCGCCACAAAAGGCAGCGCCCCAGCATTATGCTCGACGGCTGGAAATTACACTTACACTGCTTGGTAACTCTGGAAACACCGCCTCCTAATACCGGTAAATTAAACCCTGAGAAATTCGTGGGTAAATATTTGAGCTGGAGGAGATAGAGCGAGCTGAACTGAGTGATGTCGGACGTAGCCTTTGTGTTGTAGATGCCGCTGCACCCCCACGTTGATCCTAGTCAAAGATATTAAGATAAATACCAGAAAGATGAATCAAGGCGACCTGATTTTTGTATGTTAAAAAATTCGCGCTGCTTTAAATTACTTCCTGTTTCAGTATACAATTAGCTTGCTCCATGGTTTCCTTCGGTTTGGCTGTTATATTTAATCAGCTTGACTAGTTTGGATTATTAAAACCTTAAGTTATAAGTATAAAGAAAGAGTCCTGACGTGATTCAACGCAGACTTCAAAACTAAACACAAGTTATATAAATAAGGAAGTTGAGTTTAAGTGTCTGCACGCGCCATGATAAGGAAGTATATGTGGAGCGGATGAAGATTCTTTATCAGTTAGAGTATACACACTTTTTATGATTTTTAATCAAACGTTCAAGTGAGTGACGTCAATTGAATCAATGGCTCAGATATTGGAATACGTATCATTGCTAAAAGTACGACGCAAAAGATTTATCCCACAACTAATTCAAAATCATATACTAGGAGACATTGAGCATCATTTGACATAATCGACGGCTAGATAACCCGGAAATAGTAAGTAAAGACTGACATGTTAGCTCTACGTTGTCTAGTAGAAGTAATACTTAAATTTGAGGATCCCGTTTCTACCAATCCGCTTCAATCCCGAATCCCGTCATCCACATTTCCGTCATCCCAAATCTCCTAATTCTGAATCCCGTTTTCACTATTCTATAATTAATGTTGTGTATATAAAGCAAGCTTATTGAAAAATTCCTATTCAAACTTACATTAAACATTGAACAACCATTTACCTCCTATTTTCGGATACATAAAGCACAACTTAATAATTTGTTCTAACTCTCTTACCCCCGAATTTCCAATATCTTGTGATTAAAGCATGAAAACATATTTTCCTGCTCACTTAATATCTTGCTCGACACGAAAAGTATTGAGAAGATTAGTGCAAAACAAATTCAACTGTTTTGAGTTTTGCAAATTCTTTACAAAACACTGTTCGGTAAACGGCCATAGCCAGCCAAATGTATTTGTGCACTTATCGTAACAAATATGAATGCGTTGGAAGGAATTCTCAATGTAAATACGCAATATTAAAAAAAGTCAATAAAATAATTCGTTCACAGGTGGTCGCTGTAGTTCGAACAAGTCGCCCCAGTCCTCAATCGAGACCTAAAGGCTTCTTGACGACGAGCAGAATGTATCTCGCTTATTAAGTCCGAGTGGCGTTGCAGAGTTGATTCTATGGCCATAAATCTGACCAGTCCCACTGTTGATTAGAAGCCAGCAGTGGACACACTCGCTGCCGCAACCTCTTTATTCTTTGGCCACGCAGCTCGAGCCTCCGACGCGCAGAAAATACAGGCGGTCTAAGGCCTTTCAATGGCCCGCCGCCTCCGCACTCACAAGAAGAGAACATCAACAATCAGCGACTGTTTTAAGGCACCCGTCGTCTCGGACAAGTCCTGCAATCAAGAAAATGCCGACCGTCGAGAACACGCTCATCCAGGCGGTGTTTTCAATTCGAATTGAATCCTGCAGTGAGACCTATTAACTCGGTGCCTCCGAGTCTCGTTGTTGTTCCAGACACAAATTCGATAACTTCAACTCATCGTAAATAATTTCGAAGCCGACACTTGGAGAACTCCATCATAGTTAATGGGTGTCGCTATTTACATGTGGTGCTTCATCTGCTCTGCCCTCGTGAGAAGTTCAAGTTACGGATTATACATTGTAATGAGAATCCTGCGTTCCATTCAATAGTCCTTAGCACATGGTAGAATTATCGGTTGATGAGTGACATTACGCGAGATTACATTTGAAGCAAGAATCTGCGCACTTTTGAAAACGATAAGACACTCTGTCGATTACTTCATCATACACTTAGGGCATTTTTTCCAATATACCATATACCGGTTATATCCGATGCTCGAAGCACATAAAACAAAATAGTCTTAGAATACATAGCGTTCATTTGTCCCTCGTTGTGATTCTCAACTCTAGATAAAATAAATTCCTGAAATAAATTACCTAAATGACTTGTTAGGTCCAATTATAATTCATCCTGGTTAATGAAAGCACGCTACGCATTACGCAGCGCGAGAAAATTGATATCAACAGCACTGCAACAGTTCGAGCGAAAAATTTGATCGCTGAAAATATTTCTCATATACAAGTAGCCGCAATGCAAGCGTCGAGTGCATAGGCACTAAAGATTAAAATGAACAACCCACTTCTAGTCAAAAGCCGTCGTGTGACTCACAAGAATAAGTCACTCGTAGCTGCTGCATGATAAATAAAGCGCACGCCTTTAATCGCTTACTCGAGTTATCGTCGGTCTGAAGTCTCTCATCTTGCATGCCGAGAACGAGCCCGATTACGGCCTCTGTGTCAGCCTCGGCGAATAAATTCACGACGGAGAATTGGCGAAAAATCAACATGCTTTTTTGCACAGCCAAGAGCATGCACACGTGCCTCGAGAATGTTGCCGGGAATATTTCTGCACTAGACCGTGGGACGTGAATTGTGGGGGAGTTGAATTATTTAAAGCTGCGTCTTCTATCCCAAGGTTCCAGTCGGCGTTTTTTGTCTGCTTGTACGTGCAATATCAGATCCTTTGCTTATTAATATTCATTAACTATATATAAGATAGTTGACAGTTAATAGACAATAATTTAATTGTTTTTGTAATTAATTCAGTTGCAGCTCTATTGTCTATTAATAGACTATAATTGAATTTATTTTGTAATTAATTCAGTGGCAGCTCTATTCTCTATTAATGGACAATAATTGAATTTATTTTTTAATTAATTCAGTTGCAGATCTATCATGGTACTTTTGTTTTAATAAAAAACTCTAATGTTACAATTGATAACTGATTAGCATTTGACCCTTTATGCAGTCTGTTATTAGTATATTTGTTTACTTTGACGATCAATGATTGATCAAAGGCCGCCTCATAATAATTCTTGGTTAGTTAGGTGATCTTGTTCCGTACATTTTAAATTCAAACAATTAAACATCATGTTTGTCTTTCCAGCCACAAGACAGCAATTAGGTAACGTGTTAGATCGCCATTATGTTACATACAATAAGATCCCTTTGTGTTCGTATGTAATCAGCTCATCCTATAACCTATTAGTTCATTTACATCGTCAATTCAAATACAAAGATTTCAACGCAGCCAAATAAAAAAATTATGTCATGTTAATCCTTCTTATCAGCGCAGATCCTCATGCAATAATCAATGCGTCATTACGTTCACCATCTATTAAAGTATTACAGACATCAAAATATAACCTGGGCCTATACTTTCAAAAAATTAAAGAGCTCGTAAGTTCATCAGCCAATCATTGACGACCTTTCAAGCAAATTAGACAAGAAAATAGAGCGTAAGTACTTACGTTCACTTAGCGAGTTTTGAAAGTATGGCCCCTGGAGGATTGCAATGCAAACAGCATCTGATCATGAAAAGAGTATGCTGTTGTGTTTGAAATTCTCGATAACGAACTATCTGTTGATAACATTAGCATTTGCAACCTCAAATCTGCTTATTGATGAATGACTCCTACTGTAGAACCACTACAGACAACACGGGAGCTCTTGTATCGTGATAATTAAACTTGTTAAAAAATAATTTCACGAGATATATCAATGGCACGCTCCTAAGAATCATATCATGCTACCTAAAATTAATATTTACGGAGCTCGGCTAAGCATGCAATAAGTGACTGATTAGAATTTCATGCCAACGATTATCATGACAAGCTAATCAGTCGGACTCGTATCTAGTAAGTATTATGCACAAATAATGCTGAACCCATTCCCTGATCTGTTACCTCGATAACATTTAACAAAACATTTAGACATTTTAGGGTGAAAGGGTGAAGAATGTTGTACACAGGTAGCTTCATCCAAACAATTACGAAATAACATTCACTTGCAAGGTTTTTTTTCAGAACTTGGTTTTTCAGAAAAAAAAAAACACCGAGAGATGTGTATAAGAGACAGATGTAGCATNACACCACCACCACACGTGCACTACCTACACACCACCACCACACGTGCACTACCTACACACCACCACCACACGTGCACTACCTACACACCACCACCACACGTGCACTACCTACACACCACCACCACACGTGCACTACCTACACACCACCACCACACGTGCACTACCTACACACCACCACCACACGTGCACTACCTACACACCACCACCACACGTGCACTACCTACACACCACCACCACACGTGCACTACCTACACACCACCACCACACGTGCACTACCTACACACCACCACCACACGTGCACTACCTACACACCACCACCACACGTGCACTACCTACACACCACCACCACACGTGCACTACCTACACACCACCACCACACGTGCACTACCTACACACCACCACCACACGTGCACTACCTACACACCACCACCACACGTGCACTACCTACACACCACCACCACACGTGCACTACCTACACACCACCACCACACGTGCACTACCTACACACCACCACCACACGTGCACTACCTACACACCACCACCACACGTGCACTACCTACACACCACCACCACACGTGCACTACCTACACACCACCACCACACGTGCACTACCTACACACCACCACCACACGTGCACTACCTACACACCACCACCACACGTGCACTACCTACACACCACCACCACACGTGCACTACCTACACACCACCACCACACGTGCACTACCTACACACCACCACCACACACACACGCGCGTGGCCACCCAGTGCGGTACCACCGTGGTTGTCCAGCACCGGCACCTTTCATCCTTGCTACGTACGGCCGCTGGACGCATCAAGTTGAATCCGGTGCTTATGTCATAGTTGGCTTGGACTGCGCTGGCCATATAAGATTTCCATGATAACTAACAAACATATATTTTGAGTAAGTTTTGTCATCTCATAGAGATTATTGAAACCCCTATGCGTCTGTAAATATTTGATTATATGTTCGTATGAAGAAAGTCGTAAATGATTTTAGTTCACTTACGAAATATTTTGTGAGATTTGCTTTAGATGTTCCGTCAGAAACTAGGTGTCTTTCACGAACTGTTTGAACAAAGCACAGACGCAACAGGGAAGTCAAACAATAAATGTATTTTTTAAATGGTATTTAAATACCCATTTTTGATAAATATAACTCGGTATGATAGACCATCTTAATTAAATTACTAAAATTGGGTGAAATTACTAGAATTGTCGGGTTTCAAATTAATTTAAGTTAAATTATCAAGCAACCTTCCAACACAAAGAAGATTCAACAAGATAAATGACATTGAACCGTATATGTGTGTAAATCGCATCAAGATTTAATGTGCCGGCAACATCTAAATTCTAAAACAACTGAAATGTACAAATTTAAAAGGGATCAACGATTATAATATTGAGATTCTATATGCGTGCAAAAAGACCTTATAACTTGATCAACACAACTATAGGGGTGTATGGTAGAAAATAATGTTTCATTTGGCAAAAGAATTAAACAGAGAATTCTAATTCCGAATCAAGTAACCAATTAGCTTATGGAAATCGATAAAACTATATATGTTAAGAAAACATAGTAAAAAATCCCTCTAGGGTGGCTCTGAAGATATGGCAAGTGGTCAACAGTTGCCAGGGAGAAGCTCGTTTGCCTTTAGCCGTTGCTTGCCTCGAGTCGTAAGTTCTCGCAGAAATGTGAGGCCGTTAAAATCAAGCAAACGAAATTACTGGAACAATAACTAAGCAATTCGCCACTATAGAGCGCTTGAACGTCATTGTATTACAAAGTAATAGTTGCATTATGGCGGCCACAGTGTCTCGTCGTCTGGCTTGCCGTTGTCTGGCAATTGTCGGTCAGGAGACGGAGAAATAACTATAATTTTTAAAACTAAGAAATAAAAAATGAGAAAAAATACTGTGGAACGATGTACATTAGAGCAGTAATTGAGAGAATAGAATTATTAACTCAATAAACTTTGATGTTATTGATATAACCTAGGGATGTGGATCGAAGAAAATGAATAGATAAAATGTTGATAAAACACAAGGCTGTTATAATTAGCAAATTAAGTGCGGCTCTTGAAAGATAAGCGCTGCTGCGGTTCGCATATGCAAGCCAACAAATTATTGTCGGGCATCATTAGCAAAATTATCGAAATATTATTTCTATTAAAATTCTTGAATTTTTGTCTATGTAATGAATGTTTCTTTCTAAGACGAATTGTTGTCTTTGTAATGAATGTTTCTTTGTGATGAATGCTTCTTCCTAATGAATGCTTTTTTCTGATGAATGTTTTTTTCTGATGAATGTTTCTTTCTAATGAATGTTTCTCTCCAAAACGAATTGTTGCCTTTCTAATGAATTTACGCTAATCTGCAACTTTAGCCTATCGTTAGCAAACATTCTCAAAACCGAATTAAATATTTTCAGTTAAGAATGAACATGCATTCGAGAAAAATTTCATGAGAAGAATTCGCGCTTAATCTGTAAACGATTTTATTGTATAATTATTATTTTCCAGAAAAAAAATTATTTTTAATTTTTATAGCGATATCAACCTTGTGCAAGGACATTACTTTTTTGACATACCAAAATGACCAATATATGTCATATATCTTAATTATTTTTGTACATGAAATATAAAATGTTTATGTATAGGCGACAACATCTCAAGACATTTCGCAAACTATCATTATGTTCGTTTCGTTTTGACTTTTTTTCAATGCAATTCTAAAATGTTATAAAGAAGACGAGAATAATACAACATATTAATACTAGTACGTTGATAAATATTTCTTGTGTCTGTGAATTAAACTTATTGTAAGGACAAATTGATAATATTTCAAGGCACAATTTAACAATAGCGGGTAACGAATTTCTTTCGTTGAATGCATGAGCATAAACACTCATGCACTGAAGATGACATCAGTGGCAGCCAACCACGTACGAGCTGCATATCGCCTATCGTATCACTGATACGGCATTTACGAGTATGAGAGAGCAACTTATCGGAGTTAGAAGGTGAGGGTGTTATGAACACATTAAAAAACTTATATTCTCAAACACCGGTGCATGACATCATCAATTTATTCACAAGTCCCCTAACTATTGTTCCTGTCTTGTCTCCAGCGTTGCGTAGTAAACCGATAATGAGAAAACCGGTATAAAATTATTAGCTGCCAAATTCAACTTGATATAACTATAATAAGAACTCTGAAATTCAACTTGATATAATTATAATAAGAACTCTGAAATTCAACTTGATATAATTATAATAAGAACTCTGAAATTCAACTTGATATAATTATAATAAGAACTCTGAATTGAACACTTTTTTATTAAATTTAAAAATTGTTGTAATTAACGAGTCTGATAGAACTCAAGATTCATTTGCAATTCGTTTGAAAACGAACCATTATTTAGCAAAATAAATTTATTGATGGATGTTGCTGGTTATTTTTTTTTCTCCCATTTAATTTCCAGTCCTGCCGAAATCATTGAGTTGGCGGCACTTGATCTCTAATTGCTGCCCTATCTCTCTATTGTATGCGCCATGCGTCTCATTATAGCAGCACAATCGGCGGCTCGTATTGAGGCTCAACAGTGATGAAGATGGTGACTTTTTTGCACCGACGCTTCATTAGCGACGGCTCGGCGTGCTACAGCTTCTAAATGTGACTCGATATCGTCGATCAAACCTGCAGCGTCAGCGCTATAGCTACAACTTGCAGTTCACGATGAGAACATGCGACGGGTGTTACTATAACGTTAAGACGATGTAGTACAGTCGTACTCTTGCTTATCTTCTGAGCTATTCCTTTTTTTATTTTAGGATATGATGTCAACCATGTGTTGCTACTTGCTAATACCATATAAGATTCCTTCTTGATCTAGCCAATGCATATCGCAGAAATGAATTGAATGCATATAAGGCATTTAGTTATTTTACCTTGATTATTTTATGACTGAAACAACCGAATGCATTAATATTCCCAAAATCCTTATTCTAGAGTAATGGGTCTACTTAAAAATTATTATAAATCATTTATATTGAAAAAGAATTGCTAAAAATTATTTATTTTTAGGTTTAATTATTAGCAAAGTATTAGCAATTTTTTGCAATAGAAATGAAGTGTCTCTGCACCTCCAGCATTCCATTTTAATTGTTTGTGAATAAGATTTGATGTACCTCTTGAAGCAGGATTTTCATACTTTTATTCTATCGTGATTGAATCGACGACGTATTCATTGTATCAAATTTAATAAGAAATCATTTACCTTGTCATGATATAGTTTGTCCAATTGCTAATCAACTGTCGCGTACCTTTTATTCAATTTCTTTAGCTTCTTGAACTTCATTTGATGATCGAAAAACACGAAACTGAAAATGCGGACCTTGTTTCCGTTTCTTAAGCAGGTCGGATTGTAACGAATATTCCAGTGATTGAATCGGCGAACGATCCATAGGAATGAATATGTTAGACCTCAATCTTTATTTTGCATTTCTTAATTCAATCAGTGAAGAAAAAATGCATATTTTTGGTAAATTTATTGTAAAAAAAAGTGGAAACAAGTTAGCCTTAAAATAGAACGATGTCGAAAACTAACAAATTAAGAAATATCACAGTATATATACATACTAAGGTACATGCGCTTCGAGATCCAGCAGCAGAATAAAAAGGACTGTCTTGCACTTAACGCTCACTTCGATGCAAATGAACATTAGTGAAGAGTGACCCATTTCTAGTTACCTGTAATAAAATTTCATGAGCTAACCAGTGAACTCTCCCACGCACATCACGAGAAGTCAATGATGTACAGTAGCTCGAAATCTGCCGCTGATTTGCACATCAACGCCCTGAGATCTGTACTTATCCTAGTAAATTGGGTCATGCAACTATCTTCAACAGCTTTAAATATATCCATTCAAAGGAGAAAGTTGTGTCATGTGTTGGTAAAATACTAATAATTAATTAAATGATTGCACAGTTTTAAACATCCTGATTTCAAATAGTAAATAACAATTCTGAAATGGTAAATCACAGTTATCACTACAAGTATTGGAAAAGTTTTACATTAGCATTTCGAACAGTAGTGTTGCTTTCGACGTACATCAGTAAACCAATTTGTGCCTTGTTTGAACATTGCCTCTAAAAGGTCACCAAAAATATCACGAATCACATTATGCCCATGAGAAAACTTTCTGAGCTAGGCAACAGTTTCAAATGGAATTTAAAGTTTAATTTATCCTGAATTTAATTTATCTGTAGTTTCTCGGACTCAAAGAAGACGGAGATGACGAGGAAGACAATGCTGAAAATAACTTATAATCTGGTGTGGGCTTAGGTTCTGATCCCTGCTGGTTCTGGTAAAGCTCTTCGACTTTGTGGAAGACAACTTTGTAGGCATAGCGTTTGCCTGATACTTTGTACATGAGGCCTCGGTCGTAGTAGTAACGCAGGGCTCTAGAGAGCTTGTCATAGTTCATCTGAGGCTTCGATTTTCTTCTTCCCCAGCGACGAGCAACCTCATCAGGGTCCAGGATTCTGAACTCCGAGTTCAAGTTTTCCCATGTGATGATATCTCTGTTTGAAGGGTCGGCAAGGAGCTCGAGCAAGAACTGCCATAACTGGACTTGACTGGAGCCTGGTTGGCAGAGGCGTAAACACGATTCGGAATACTTCGAGTAAGGGTCGGAGATTTCTTGCTCCGAGGGTAAGGAGGCGCCTTGATTTCCAAGTAGACAGTTCAGGTATTGGGAGATGATGTTTGCATCGTTCTCATCCACTCTCAACTCGAGAGATGCTCTTGATAGACGACAAAGCTCAGCTCCTACAACAAAGACAACAAGAACAACATTAGAGATGACAGATGTGATAACCAAATGTTCAGCAAAGAAAATGTTTTAGTGAGGTAATTATAATCACTTTGCGAATAAATCAGTAACAAACAGACCACAAAGTAGACTATGCAATAGATTTGTGTCTCCGTAATTGATCAAAGGTAAACGAAACCCAGACGGAGATTTTATGTTACGTCTATGTTCCCAGACCCTCAAGAAATTCTATGTTACGGACACTCACCAGTTGGCGGGAGTTGAGATGCGCTAACCTTGCAGGAAAGTTTCAGTTCTTTCCTTGCCCAAACGATAAACTTCTTAATATCTTCTCTAGTCCATAAACGAGGATCTGCAAAAAAAAATAAAGAAACAAATTATTTAAAATCATGGGAATGTATGTGGCAACTCTTCCTATCAGTTCAAAAAAAAACTCACTCTCTCTATGTGACGTCACGAAATTAGTTGCCACATGCCACTAGAGTCACCATCCTAAGAAACGTTTGTTTGCTAGAGGGTTGGTTTCAGGGAAAACGAAACATATTCAGCACTCTATTTTATTTCTTTAGGCTCATTCTTCACATGTGTTTAATACTAAAATTATCATTTCCTTAAGTAATATCAACATTTATAATCCGATATATTTAAACAAATATTCAGTGGGTAACATACCTGGGACGATTGATGGAGCTTCGGTGGGAATTAGTGATTCGCCAGCGAACAATGCGCTGTCGTTGTTGATGAATTCTTGAACGTTCAAAATGTCGCCATTTATGAGCTGTTCATTCGGAATATTTAAAGTTTCATCGTGGAAATAGTCCCTGTCGTCTTCGATCCAAGGGGATTGAGCTAACATCTGAGGAGTAGTGGTATCTCTTGGGAACAACGAATTGCTTCGCTGGCTTGGCGATGGAGATGAAAACAACTGAGGAGACGGTGAGCTCGTAGCCGAGTGCCATGATGTATTTCCTTGAAAACCCGGTGACGGGGAATTTGATGACTGCCAAAATGACGTATCCAAGCCGGAGCAAAAAGATGAGTTTTGATTATTATTGTTACTATAACTGATTACTCCTTCGGATTGAGAAGAAAGTTGATCGTAACTCAAGGTAACTTGTTCATCAAGCTTAAGTGCCCCTAATTGGAAAGAATTTTCTTCAATAGGCAGAGTTTCATACTCAGGGATAGGAGTCATATTAGGGGTTCCGGTTAGGTATGGAGAATCGCAAGATCGTTCACTTAGTGGAGAAGCCCATGTGTTATCTTGTTTTCTATGACTGCCTAACAATGGGTTCCCAGACAAGTTTTGTAGTTCGACGTGGTGCCCGTAACTGTTCACTCCATAGTTGTTCAAAGTGTGTGTGGCTGCTGAGAGTGTAGGATATTCCGACAAATCGCCTCCCGTCGTGCTACTGTGCATTTGATAATGGTTTGTGTTTGGACTTCTGTTCATGTCGTTGGAATATGTCACTTGCGAGGGGCTTGTGATAGAAATCTGGTCCGAGCGTAAATATCTTTCCAGTTTTGCTACCTCTTCTTCACGGCTGTTCGTCAACGAAAAATCAGGTACTGGGGTAACGCTGTACCCTATTCCTCGTTCGTTGAACATGATGAAATACTATGATTTATCAGTATTCACCCAAAAATCAAAGTTCTAAACACAAGGAATATACGTTCAGTTTCTGTTCATAAGGTTCACTTATTTTCATATGAATTTCAAACTGTTCACTGACTCCGCAACGTTTCACCGAAAAAAGGAACAGGGGAACACGATGCAATGAAACGACTCGAGGCCGCAACTGCGCTGAGCAGACTTCTCTTACTACGTGCCACGGCAGAGCGTGCTGCTGTAATGATTCAGGTAACGCGGGTTGCCTGCTTATATAGGCAAGCCGCGGCGGGGGCGCGGGAGGGGAAGCCTGCATTATTTGGTGGGTGGCTGACCAACTTGCACACGGCATCTTAAAGAAGGTGAGGGTGCATTCTGACAAGAGAAAGACTGCTAAACTGTAACTAGGAATTTAATAACGGTCGTGCATAGAAGTGGAATATGTTGACCTAATGAAAGATTATCCTCACTTGAATGCTGATATTATTGTATTAAGTTGTCCCAAAATAAACGGTGTAGTTCAAAAAAACATCAAAATTCACGCAAAAACATCAAAATTCACGCAGTTAACGTAGAACAAATTACGATAATCGAAAGAAAATTGATGCAGTTTGAAAATGATTACACTAAGTACATTTCAAAACAAAGATTCATGCGTGAATTACGTAAAAAATAGAGCATCACAAAATTTAAGGCATTATCTACAAAAAAGTTCTCGTTAGCGAAAAATAACAGATTAGACCTGGTTAACACAGAGATTTAAGGCAAAATACAATTGTCTGTAGTTTATGCTAGATTTATTAATGCAATTAGTACTTGCATTAAGTTTTAACTGGATATTTTTAAACCTAAATCGTATTTCGCTATTCCTGGAAAATATTCAACCCTAAATCGTACTTAACTATTTCTAGAGAAGATTCGGACTTATTCCTCTACCGTCGTATGTCACTCTCCGAGAACATAACTTCCAACTTAAATTATATGTAAACTATTGAGTGTAGCAACCTGTGGACGTTTGTACGCAATAGAGAACATTTTTTAAAGTTGTACGTGGCGGCAACCATCAGTGCAAGTCATTTTGCGCTCACTAGAACGTATCCTTTTTGGGAAGTAGGCTCGTGACAATATTGCTCCGGTTACTCATGTCAGGCGGTGGAGGGTTAAATCATTTGCAATAACTGATATCTGCTGGGGCTGCATATAAATCTTAAACATTATTAATAAAAGTGTCAGATCAAAGATTATAACAGTATTTTCCTACGCTAATTTCACGCTATTTACTTACAGCTAATTTACAATAAAAATTATATTAAAAAATTATATTATATAATTATATTATATAAAAATTATATTATTATAAGTGCAAACTGCACGAAAATGTAGACGGAAGATAGGAAGAACATATCCGTGGACAAGGGCAAGGTTTCCCTGCTAGATAGCGAGTAGGTTGGCGCTGAAGCTGCTATCTGCTTGGAAAGCCCGACTCGCGGTCCGATAAATTTTCAAGTCTACGGGAAAACTATGCACTAAATCACTCGTACGTCTTCATGTCACGGTCATTATCAGGGGCCATACTTTCAAAACTCGCTAAGTGAACGTAAGTACTTACGCTCTATTTTCTTGTCTATGATTGGTGGATTTGGCTTGAAAGGCCGTCAATGATTGGCTGATGAACTTACGATCCCTTAACTTTTTTTGAAAGTATAGGCCCAGGTGTTTAGGGACGAATAGCATTGATGACGGTTAAGTTGTCCGTATATAAATGGCTAGTTACAGCCTTCTTGAAAATTCCAACAACCATTCCCCCAATGCTAAACAGACAGGGATTAAAACGAATCGGCTGTCAAAAATATTAATTATATTGAACTATGCATTACATCTCTTCAATTCTCAATAAAAACTTTTAAAGTAAAAAAATTTATTCAAGACTGGAAATAGAACGAATCGCGAAAAACTACTCATTGAAATTTTTCCTAAATTTCTTATAGGCAGCGTTTGACGCATGTTCCGAATTTTTTAATGACAAATGCTACTATTTTCTAACTCGCCATTATACGTAATAAAACTTCCCTTGACATCAGCATAGCGGCAAATAAAATACTCGTGATTTGGACCAAAAACCAAAGCAAGGATTAAGAATTATCTCATTTTCCAAATGAAACAGTTTCGACGAACATCGAGTTCGTAAAATAATGGACTTGTACAAAATGCGCCAAGGCGTCCTATATATAGGCAATTTTCCAGATGGCGCTTTAATCTGAATTCAATTTCATTAATGTCTATTTATTCACAAATGAGAGACCTGCCATTTTTTGCAGGATGTGAAGGGAAAATCTCTCCTGATTTATGAACCCAATGGGAGATGTAAGCTGTGCCGCTGTAGAAACTAAATATTCTATTCAAGAGAACCGCTCAATAATTGACAAAAACACAAGTACTCTTGTAAAAAATAAAAAAAAATATTGCCCAATGAATGTTGTGGAAGGCAGACATTATCAATTTTACATTAACGACTTGATTGCAGACTTCGTTTTTACCATTAATTAGCGACTGCTTCTCTTAGGGTAAACGTTTGATAGGAAACTAGATTTAGTTATCCGCCGAAATATTTTAACCTCCATAAGCTGACGGAATAAAGAACGCTCTCAATATCTAATCTAATTTGAAACTGCAGGCGCAATCGCATGCAGTAAGTGCTCTTTAATAGTGTACGCTCATTTGGTTGTGAAGGTGGCGAAACGCGCAAATTCTGAAAGAGGATTGAACAAGTCCACAGTGCGGGATAAATCAGCCAGGCTCGCTCACTATATTGTATATAAAGGTTCCGTGAGCCTATAGTTCCTACTCTCACGAAAAACATTTATTTCGTCGCGTCAGTTCGTTAAAGCTTAAACTAACAGCTGATAATTATGCAGAGCTTCATTATATTATTGTATATATTGTAGTTATGCATATAAATCTACTTTATGCAGAAAGAAAACAATTTGTTATTTACTTCAAAATTGTGCACAATCAACTCGCAGATAACTTAAATCTGAGATTTTTTGTCATTATGTCTGCCAAAATATTAATACGCACACAGAGGTTCTGGAAATGTAAGAATAACTTTAAAAACGAACGCGAAATAAATTTCAGGCCAAGAAGTTTCAAGAGACGCAATTGTCGTGCATCATTGACTTGTTGTCACGTCATACAGTCGAAACAATGTTTTGGCGGGAAACCCGCTGACTAGAAGGCCTCAGCGAAGGCTAACTGCAACATTTTCGTGTCACGAGCCGCATAACCGCCACAAAGGGAAATGCTACCATCCGTGCTAGCGGGAAGGATGTTGCTCCAAATTGAGGGCTTTCCATTCAAGAAATAATTTCAGTTCTCGAGAATCTATCACATCATTAACATAGGGAACAAAGTCTCTTGTGGAACGGAAAAGGAAGCAATGATTAATCTACACTTTAAGCAAAAATAGATTTGCTCTCTGTGCATATGCTAATTTTAACATGCAATTGCGCTTGCTTAACTTTTTCGACAATATACATCTGACTCACTCGTGTACTTTCTTCTATTTTCCACATTAGAGACGTTTACGTATTTGGACTATAATGCCAACAATGTCCTAACCTTAATCGAGTATCAATACTGACTTTAAATCTAGGTGAAAAACCACAGTAATAGAGATCATTCATACCAATATGAAATAAATTCGACAAGAAAAATTCTCAATTTAAAAACGAGCGGATTTAACATCTGGAAATTGTCGCGATTTTTATATAAAATTTCATTTTCTATTGCCACTCAGCTAAATGTCCCTTTGACGAAATTGCTTTCGCCGATGTCATGCAAATCATTATCCGAGATTGTGAACTCTAGTGAAGGTGAACCTTGGAAAAGTAGTAAAGTAGTAAGTTATAATTGATTAAAATCACTTTTCCAAGAATACATGAGATCTCAAAACTCTATTAATTAAGAGGAACCCTAAAAAGTTTGTATCATAGGTACACTCATAAATTTCAGTGAATATTCTATATTTTTGTTCATGATAAAAATCTTAAACATAAACAATCGTAACTTGTTAAACACACGTTGAATCTTGCGAGAAACTGCAGAAATTATTGCATGAGACAAGCGATGATTTTGACGATCAGTAACTTTTAGGGACTTTTTTCTAGTCCAGACACCCATCAACATAATTTTTTTTCAAAATCTAATTTTTACTCAAAAATTGTTGAAACTATGTGAATTAATAAATTCGTACAGAGACCTCATCCTGCGCCAAAAAGAAAGAATATCAATTCTTGTATTTATTGTAGTACTTGAAGTTTTGGCTCGCAATTACGTTTAAAATCCACTTTAAAGTATAAAAGTCCTGCCAAACATTAGTTTTATTACAAGAGAAGAATTGATTTGGTTGGTTAGAAAGTCAATTCAAGGGCGAGCGATTTTGGATGTTTGTTTACATAAATAACTATCACAGCCGAGGGAAGCCATCTCGTTGACTCATTTTATCCTTGCTAATCAGGAAACACTTAACGACTCGCACCGACCAAATGAAAAAGCGCCGGCAGTTACCCACGAGTGCCTCCTAGATCCCCCAGGTTTAAAACCTGTCTCATTGGATGGCAATCTATGGTCACAAGATTTCGAGGACGAGCAATCGATCAAGTAGACATATTCATGGGCATGAAAGAGTATTTATCCGAGCATTTTACGGTGCAGTTATCCGTTCCTAACTACCCAGGGTGCCGTCCGATATACACCGTGCCGACCGGCATAGCTTCCAGACCTCACGAGTTGCCAAGCACGTTCACGCACAGAAAAATTTTTTCTTGTTGCTTAATTTATACCCAAAATAACTTCTACATTCCCGTTACTTCACCTTTATAAACCTTTCTTATGAAAAAATTCTTCTCGGTATGTTCACCAGATTGATAGATCAGCTCGGATATCGTCATTACCATAGCCTGCGTGAACAACCTCCTGGAAGGCTCGACGATTGAGACCACACAGTGTCGCTGGGCAGCGAGACCTCACCCCTTGTAAAGCTCACCTAATTACCAGCGCGACGCCTCGTGCCTGTCCTGCTCGTAGCAACTTGATTGGTCCAGTGAAGATAACACCAACAGTGCTAACACTAAGCCCAATGCTGCGTGCGTACCCTAGCTTTCCTGTAAACGAGCACAACGTACACGAGTCCAGCGACTCATAACAGTTGAAAAGAGTAATATGTTCTAGAA